GTGCAGGGATCATTTCTTACGGGGTTCAGGGGACCAGATCGGGTGGTGGGGGATCAAACCCGGCTTGGTTGCAAGCAAGGCCAGTGCCCTACCCTTGATACGATCCTTCCAGACCCAGGATTCAAAGAGTTCTTTTCTAGAACTATTTTAGGAACCAGGGACTGTTTTTATGGAACTATTTTAAGAACCAGGATTCCTGCATCTGACCTGCAGAGAGTGTCCCTAGCAGTCCACTTGGGCCCTGGGGAATTCATGTTTGATCCCTCAGAAGACGCTGCTCCTGAGTGGGTCAGTGTCCCGTGAGTCTTGCTACTTCTAGATGATTCTCCCTCCTTCCTCAGTACTTCTGAGCTTTAACTTTCTTTTTTTTCTGTTGTTTTTGAGCCACATCTGGTGATGGTGAGGGGGTGACTCCTGGCTCTGCGCTGAGGAATTACTCCTGGTCTCGGTTAGGGGACCATATGGGATCTGGGGCTCAAACTCAGGCTAGTTGCATGCAAGATAAGTGCCCTACCCACAGTGCTATTACTCTGCACCGAGGTTTGGCTCTTATTATCCATCCCTGCCAGCCACCAGTCCCAGCTTGGGACTGTCGTTTTTCCATCTGAGGTGCTCCTCCTAATTCCCTCAGGATCCCAGCCCTGTCACCAGCCTCTCTCTTCAGTATAATTGGTCCTGTCATGAAAACTGGCATTTTGTTTTAGGACTTTAAATACCAGCTTAAGTCTGTCTCTCTCCGGTAAATGCTAGACATACAGATTTTCATCACGTATGACTTCTTTGCTGGAATGACTAAGTATCTGAAACAATCTGATTCTACCTAAGCCTTTGCTCTTTACCCACTCAAAATTTAGTATTTTTTAAGGGAGGGGCGCCACCCTTTCCATTGGTGCCGGAGGGGAATTATATCTGGGGCTCCTACACGTAAAGCATTTTCTCCTGATTTTGAACTACCTCCCCAGTCCTCAAAAATCTATTATTTTGGTTTATACCACCATCTCGGCATGAGGCCATTCCATCTTTTGGTTAAATGACCCAAAGACATGGATTCACCTTGAAGAAGCACATCTAGTCCTACACATGGATACTTGTCGGACCACTGTGCTGTCTCTCCCTCCAAAGAACATCGCAGGTTTTCCACAACAAACAATAAAAAATATATTATTTCGGTTCTACTTTGGGGTAGGAATTTGGGGTTCTGGTCAGAAATAACCAAAGTATGGTGGTGGGACGGTGAAATGGTGGTGGGATTGGTGTTTGAATATTAAATGTAATCAAATATTGTGAACTACTTTATAAAATTAAAAAAATAAAAAAATCATAGCAACCAAAACAAAAAACAAAGAACATTGCAGATGCTACCCACTCCTCTCCATCTCTATGGCTCACATCCTGGGTCTAGTCACCAACACACTGGTTCCCTGGATTATTACAATAGCACTGTAGCACTGTCCTCCTGTTGTTCATCGATTTCCTCAAGCGGGCACCAGTAATGTCTCCATTGTGAGACTTGTTGTTACTGTTTTTGGCACATCAAATACATCATGTGTAGATTGCCAGGCTTTGCTGTGCGGGAAGGATACTCTTGATAGCTTGCCGGGCTCTCTGAGAGGGATGGAGGAATTGAACCTTGGTCGGCCTCGTGCAAGGCAAATGCCCTACCACTGTGCTATCGCTCCAGCCCAGATTATTACAATAGCCTCAGATAATTACTCTGTGTTCACCTGCTGCTCTTTACAATTTGTCCCCAACCTAGAAACTAGAGGGTTCTGGTGAGAATGTATTAGATCATAAATCTCCTCCGTTCAACAGTGCAAAAAGGTGAAAGCCAACATCCTCCGCTGTGAGCTGGGGAACTCTTACAAGCTGGCCCTCCTGTTACCATCCTGTCTCCTCTCAGATGTCCCACTTCAGTCTCAAGGATCAAGTCAAGGACACTCCTACCTCAGGGCCTGAGTAAATGCCGTTCCTTTGGCCTGGGACACACGTTCCTCAGAGATCATGTAGCTTAATAAGGCCAGCCTGATCAACCCTGACCAACTTCTTTTTATTTATTTATTTTTTTAGTGGTTGGGGGAGTTGGGTGACACCCAGAAATACTCAGGGGTTATTCCTGGCTCTGCACTCAGGAATTACTCCTGGTGGTGCTTTGGGGACCATATGGGATGCCAGGGATTGAACCTGGGTTGGCTGCGTGCAAGGTATATCCTGTACCCACTATGCTATTGCTCTGCCCCACCCCCACCAACATTTTGATGGATCCCACATAATTGTATCCCCTTTCCTGAAATGATTTTCTTCTTGGCTCTTCTTGCACCCTATGTACAGTACTTATTAGCCTCTCTTTGTACCTCAATGAATGTAAGCTCCTGAGGGCAGGGATTTGAAGTGTTCTGCTCACTGGGGTCTGTTCTCCAGTATCTTATACCTAGTAAGTGCTCAGTAAATATTTGGTGAATAAATGAATTAAAGGGTTGGTTATAGACACATTGTTTGCTTTTGGAATTGTCCCCACTTTTTAATCAATTACAAGAGCCTTCTACTGAAGGGAAGAGCTCAGACCTTCTGCTCCAACTTTTTACCGTATGAAGAGAGATTTCTATACAAAACAGGGACCCTAGAATTGGCTTGCATTTTTCCTAGAAAGGAAGGCCATTACCATACCAGCCAGCCTGGCAGGAAAAAACTCTATGGCTTAGGAAGTGCAACTTTATTTTTTATTGAATCCTGTCTTTTTCTTTTTAAATTTTTGTTTTATTTTGTTTCTGGGCCACACCCAGTGATGTTCAGGGGTTACTCCTGGCTTTGCACTCAACAATTACTCCTGGCAGTGCTTAGGGGACCATATGGGGTGCCAGGGATCAAACTTAGGTTGGCTGTGTGCAAGGCAAACGTACTACCCGCTATACAATAGCTCCAGTCCAAACCTCGACTTTCGAAGGTAGAGCCATGGGTTGACCTTCATTCTTTTAGCATACTAAGTTACATAGTCCTAATTTACATGATTTCCTAGTTGACAGTTGGCTATGGCCACACCCTGGCTTCCGCAGCTTACTTAAGCCAACTTTCTTTCATTTAAAATTTTATTTATTTATTTATTTATTTATTTGCTCTTTGGGTCACACCTGGCGATGCACAGGTGTTACTCCTGATTCTGCACTCAGGAATTACTCCTGGTGGTGCTCAGGGGACCATATGGGATGCTGGGAATCGAACCCGGGTCGGCCGCGTGCAAGGCAAACGCCCTACCAGCTGTGCTATCGCTCCAGCCCCAAGCCAACTTTCTTTATCATTTCTCCTGGAATGGTTTTCTATCTCTTCACCATCCTTGCTCCCCACCTTCAGGCTACAGATCTTGCCTATATGAAGGACCCCAAACTGGACATATGACTGCAGGTCTGAGTCCCCCCACAGAGTTCAGTGGAGGTCTCATTGTCCTGGGGGTTATGACTCAGGTCTGTGTCAGAAAGACAGTGCCTGATGTGGCACCTGGCTATCTCTGACAGACTTCCTGTTTGCTGGGGGTAGAGGGCAAGGTGGAGGCATGGAGGAATGAGGACTGGGGATTTGGGCCTGGGGATTGTGCACATCTGAGGCTACGGGATTAAGATGGTTAGAGGCACCCCATCAAAAAATGGGGCAATGAAATGAACCGAAACTTTCTCAAAGAAGAAATCCAAATGGCAAAAAAGCACATGAGAAAATGCTCTACATCATTAATCATCAGGGAGATGCAGATCAAAACCACAATGAGATACCATCTCACACCTCAGAGACTGGCCCACATCCAAAAGAACAAAAGCAACGGATGCTGGAGCGGATGGGGTGAGAAAGGGACACTCCTTCACTCTTGGTGGGAATGCCGACTGGTTCAACTCTTTTGGAAAACAGTATGGACGATTCTCAAAAAATTAGAAATTGAGCTCCCATTTGACCCAGCAATACCACTCCTGGGAATATATCCCAGAGAGGCAAAAATGTATAGTCGAAGTGACATCTGCACTTGTTTGTTCATTGCAGCACTCTTTATGATAGCCAGAAACTGGAATAAACCTGAGTGCCCAAGAACAGAGGACTGGCTAAAGAAACTTTGGTACATCTACACAATGGAGTACTATGTAGCTGTTAGAAAAGATGAAGTCATGAAATTTACATACAAGTGGTACAACATGGAAAGTATCATGCTAAGCGAAATGAGCCAGAAAGAGAGGGATAGACATAGAAAGATTGCATTCATCTGGGGGATATAAAGTAACAAAATATGAGGTTAATACCCAAGAATAGCTGAGATCAGCACCAGGAGGATTATTCCATAGCTTAGAGGCCAGCCGGGCATTCTAGGGGGAAAGGGCAGCTCAGATAGAGAAGGGAGCACCAAATAAAGGGTGTTTGTAGGATCCTCCCAGGAGGGGAGATGCATGTTGAAAGTAGACTATGGACTGAACAAGTTTGCCACTCAATGCCTCTTTTGCAGACCACAACACCCAAAAGGAGAGAGAGAGAGAGAGAACAGAGGGGAATGCCCTGCCACAGAGGCAGGGTGGGATGGGGGGGGGGATGGAAATGGGGGGGATATTATCCATGGTGGTGGAAAATGGGCACTGGTGGAGGGATGGGTATCTGATCATTGTATAATCGAAACCCAAGCACAAAAAATTGTAAATCTACAACTGTACCTCATGGTGTTTCACTAATAAAAATTTAAAAAAAAGATGGTTAGAGGCAACCTGGGCTGGTACAGCCAGAGAATGAAAGACTGGGGGAAAAGCTATTTGGGAAAGAAAGACCCGGGGGGTAGACAGTGTTAGACCTGGGTTGTAGGTCAGCAGTCCAGAATCTGTGGATCTTACATGTTCCCATTGCTATTCCGCTCAAGTATGGGACAGAAATGGGAAACAGTTTTTTGACTACACTCTGAAAGCATACGAAGTCCTTGCTTCAATCGCTGATGGCCCCTGCCTAGAGGACCACACCCCATGCCCAGGACGGGAGGGACACACCTGAAGATCGGGATGACATAGTTGTTTGGGAAGATGCCCATTCGCCCGGTGACCAAGGAGATGCCCTTGAGCCAGCCATCATGGTACTTCCCCAGGACCCTGACGCCTTCTCCCTTCTGCAGGTCCAGTTCCTCGGGTCCGTGTGCTGCATAGGAGCGCAGGGCCACAAACCTGCAGAGACAGTAGATGAGCCAGGTGAAGAAAGGGCAAGAGTCACGGTGTGTGTGTGTGTGGGCAGGGGGTTTATGGGGGAGGCAAGCCCATTAGTCTAGTGAGTTCATAACCCAAAGCCTGAAAAAGCAGAAGCTGAGCTCACAAAACTGGGCACCTCGACAAGCAGGCTTAAGGCCCCAAACTCCACCTCCAGCCTCACAGGGCAAGATACTGGTGCCCTCAACTGAGTCTGAACAATGTCACAGTGCCAGGCTGAACACTGAGTATAGCAGGGCCGAAAGTCATGGGAAACATCCACTAGTACCCCTGAACAATGCTGGGGAAGCCCTTTCCCACAGAAAAAGAAAGACAAATAAAGCTCACTTATGTTTGGTTTTGGGGCTACACCTGGTGGTGGTCAGGGCTTATGCCTGTCTCTGTGCTCAGGGCTTCGGGGACCATGTGTGGTGCTGGGGATTGGACTTGGGTCTGCCGCTTGCAAAGCAAGTACCCTGCCTGCTGTATTATTGCTTCGGCCCCAAAGCTCACTTATTTAAAAAGCAAATTGAAACCAATTAATACACATTGATGAATGTGATCAATGGGGTAGCATCTGGTTGGGATGGTGGGGAATGGGGGCACAAGGTCTCCTTCTTGCCTCTCCTCTCGCTTGTATCACATGGAGGAGCACACAGTGAGTCCACAGCGGGAGGTGCCAGTGGGAATATATTTCTTTTTTTTTTTTTTTTGAGTCACACCCAGCGATGCTCAGGGGTTGCTCCTGGCTCTGCACTCAGGAATTACTTCTGGCAGTGCTCGGGGGACCATATGGGATGCTGGGAATCGAACCTGGTTCAGCTGTGTGCAAGGCAAATGCCCTTTGTGATACCCGCTGTGCTATCGCTCCAGCCCCAGCGGTGGGAATATATTTTACTAGAGAAAGCAGTTGGCCAGCAGGAGTTAGGACTGAGCCGGCTCTCTTGCCTAGAAGCAACGGCCTCTCCCTAAGGGACACTGAAAACAGCCAGAGCCATGAAGGCATGGGAGAGGTAGGGCGGGCTGGAAGTCTGGTTCATGCCTGTTTCCGAGCAGAGGGGCTGGTTTAGGACCCAGGGAGTGTCCCGCAATTCTCCTTTGTTGTGGATTGAGAAGCAGCCTTGGGGGAGCAGGAGGCTTCATTTGGGCTTCTGGGGGTCGGGTGGGAGAGATAGGGAAACACAGTGGAACTGGGGTGCTGGGTTGGGAACCGGCAGAGTCCTTTGGGGTAGACATGACTTTCTCTTCAGGGGGAGCCAGGAAACTCCTAGGTCTGTGTCTGGGAGAGAATGCTCTAGGGAATGTATGGCTGTACAGGCATCCCTGCCTAACTAAAGTCTTACACCTTTGCCCACATCGGCGTGCCAGATCCAGGGGTCTGATACTCAGACTAGATATCTGGAAACTCTGCTAGACCCTCAAGATCAGGAATATTGGACCAGTTTATCCATGGGGCTAGGAATGATCTCCTCTGCAGCCCTTCCCTTGTCAACTTGTCACTCAAAAAAAAAAATGGTGATTTTTGTTTTGGAGTCATACTCAGTGGTGTTTGTTCAGGGCTTATCCTGGTTCTGCGCTCAGGGCTCACTCTTGGCAGGCTTGGGGGACATCTGGGATGCCAGGGGTTGAACCCAGATTAGCTGCATATAAGGCAAACATCTCACCCACTGTGCTATGGCTCCAGCCCCATTGCAGACCAAAGGAAGATGCAAATCGACATCCAAGCTCCCAGCAACATCATCCCTGAGTCCCTACTGTTGTAAAACCAGGAGTGGAATGATGGAACTCTGCTCCTGTGTGTTTGGTAGCCCCGTTTCTTCAGGAGGTGGCAAAGGACCAGAAGCTCTAATCTCTAGGGGCTACTTGGAGTGGTGACAGCCCACAGCAGAGCATCAGCAGACAGGGCTGGCGATGTGCTGGCCCATGGGCTGGCTGCTGGAGCTTTGTACTCACATGTTAGCTGCAAGGTGCTGCTGGGAGCTGGGCAGGCTGAGGATGGCGGCCGCCGTGGAGTGCGCTGGGGAGGCAGGCCCAGGGTGGTACGTGCTGACCTACAGAGGAAACACAGCAGAGGTGACCCGTGAGTGCACTGGCCACAGCAGGAAGGCCTGATGGGGCTGGAAGCCCAGGGCAGCCCCGCTGGTCTGTAGGATGGAGACGGTTGCGGCCTGCTCAGGGCACATGCCGGCACCTCACTCTGAGACCCTTCAACTACAGCCCAGTGTGAAGCCCTGCTCAGCCTCAGAGCTGGCCACACCAACTTCCTTGCTCTGTTCCCTCAGTCCTTGGATGCATATCTTCCCACTGTGAAACTCTACCTTGGAAAATGACTAGAGAGCTAATGCTGATAGAGCACGTCATGCTTGCCAGGCAGTTAAAAGCTCTTTACAAGTATCAGCTAATACAATTTGTTCTAAAAAATTTTTTTGTTTTGGGGTCACACCCAGTGATGCTCAGGGCTTATTCCTGACTTTGCACTCAGGAATTGATCCTGGTGGTGTTTGGGGGACCATATGGGATGCCGGGGATCAAACCCAAGCCCTACTTTCTATATTGTGGCTCTCGCCCTGCCCCGGTTCTTGGATGTTCATCTTTCCTCTGTGAAGACCTACCTTGGGAAATGATTAGAGAGCTAATACTGATGGAGCACGTAATGCTTGCCAGGCAGTTTAAAGTGCTTTACAAGTACGAGCTAATTTGGTCCATTTAAAGTGACTATTATTATCAGCCTCGTGTTTTGGAAAGAGAAAGAGACGGAGAGGTCATCCAGGTAGGATGAACATTTCAAAGCGGCAGTCTAGGTCCCAACTGCAGACTCTTTACTGCTGTTATTAGCACATGTCCGTGCACACACACATAACCGAGCCCGGGATGGACAGGGGAGTCTGTCAAATGTTCGTTTGTTTTTATTTGGGGGCCACACTCAGTGGTGCTCAGGGCTTACTTCTGGCTCTGCACTCAGAAATCACTTTTGATGGGGCTTGGAGATTGAATCTGGGAGATTGAATCCTGTCTGCTGTACTGTCTCTGCGACCCCCTTAATTATTTTTAAAGACTCGCTCTGAGGGACTGAAGAGATAGTTCAGTGGGAAGGGCACTTGCCTTGCGTGAGGCCAAACCAGGTTTGATCCCCAGCATCCAATATGGTCCCCTAAGCATCACCAGGAATAATTCCTGAGTGCAGAGCCAGGAGTAAGCCCTGACCATCACTGGGTGTGGCCCCCAAACTTAAACAAACAAATAACAACAACGAAGACTCCTTTCTCCCCCCCCCCCCGTCCCCCATTCACTTCCCATTGTTGTTTTTGTCATTGCAATGCCCAGGGTGTTGAGGGGTTATTGCACCATTTGGATGTGGCACTTGCACCCGTAGTCGGTGGTAGTTGCACACAGGTACAGTGCTCACACACTGCAGGGGAAGCATCCACTTGTGCTCATGGGGGAGACATTGCTAGCTGTGGAGCTGGTGAGCTTGGGAGGTCACACACCTTAGTGACTGTCCCTGCGCACACCTGCCTGTGCGCTGGGGAGGGCAGCAGGGTCCCTGACGGCAGAACTTCAGGACTGCAGTCAGCACTCGTGGGTGCCACCAAGTATTTAACTCATGACTCCAAGTGTGCATGACAGGCACTTAAAAAACATTAAAAAATTTTTTTTTGCTTTTTGGGTAACACCTGGCAGTACACAGGGGTTACTCCTGGCTCTGCACTCAGGAATTACTCCTGGCGGTGCTCAGGGGACCAGATGGCATGCTGGGAATTGAACCCGGGTCGGCTATGTGCAAGGCAAATGCCCTACCTGATCTGCTATCACTCGAACCCCTAAAAAAAATTTTTTTTTGGTTTGTTTTGGGCCACACCTGATGATGCTCAGGTGTTACTCTTGGCTCTGTGCTCAGGGATCACTCCTGGAGATGCTCAGAGGGCCATATGGGATGCCTGGGATCCAGCCAAGGTTGGGCGCATGCAAGGCAAATGCCCTACCCACTGTGTATCTCTCCAGCCCCAAGGCGAGTACTTTCAGCCACCAAGCCAGCCCCCTTGAAACTTTTCTTTTCCAGGAAAAGAAAAGAAAGAGGGAGCAGCAATGCTGAAGTCTCCTGTTTTCCTAGAAACTTGCAGCTGTCCTGGAAACATGCGTATGACCTAACAGATTCCTATGACCCGGAACAACAAAAGGTTCAAACTTGCCAACTTCCTGCACGGTTGAAATTCCATGTGCAATGTTTGATTCCCCCCAGAACCTTCCTGCTATTAGCCCTCAATTACCAAAAGCCTTACTAGAAACAAGAACTGTTCAATGAATATTTTGTGTTCTATGTATTGTACACCAACTTCTTAAACACAATGAGGAAGGCTGAGAACAGAAAATATTAAGATAATCCTAAGGCAGAAAAAAACCACATTGACAATACTGTATTTATTGATCCTGTAAGTATACATTGTTGACAAGAAATTCTGCATGTGCGTGGATCTATGCAGTTAAAACTGGTATTTTCAAGGGTCAACAGCACTTTGTTTTATTTTTTTCTTGGCACATTATCACAGATTGTTTCTTCACTTACTAGCTAACCCCTCACTAGAACTGTCCCTAGTGACAAGAACTCTGTATTGTATTGTATGTGTCATCTCTTATATTTCTTTTGAGGGGGAGCGGGGGGGGGGGGCTCCCAAGCAGTGCTCAGGAGGTCCACAGGTCCCAACAGTTTCTGGCCAGTGGTTCAATGCAAAGTGTTGCTGCTTGGATCCTGCAGTATTGAGGAGGACCAGGACACCTCACAATGCTAGGGACTTTCAGGGTCACACACTTGGTGCTTGAAGGCCTCCAGGGCTTCAACCAGTGAATCTCAGGGGATCATTTAGTGCCAGGAATTGAACTCAGATCAGGAGCACAGTAGGCATCTGCTCTAACCATGTACTATCTCCCAGCCTCTTTTATCATTGTATTTCTTTGTTTTCTGGTTTGTTTTTTTTTGGGCAGGGGCACACCTGGCAATGCACTCAGGATCCCTCCTGTTGGGTTCTGGGGACCATATAGGATGTCAAAAATTGACCCCAGGTTGGCTGAACGCAAAGGCAAGTGCCCTATCCACTGTATTATCCAGTCCCTCATTGTATTTAATTTATTTCTTTGTTTTTTTTTGGGGGGGGCACACCCAGCAATGCTCAGGGGTTACTCCTGTGTTCTGCACTCAGGAATTACTCCTGGCAGTGCTTGGGGGACCATATGGAATGTCAGGGATCTAACCTCTGTTGGCTGCATGCAAGGCAAAACCCTACTCACTGTACGATCACTCCAGTTCTTCACTGTATTATGTGTTCAACTTATACTTCATTGTAGCTTAATGAAAGCATAAATGTATGCATGAATGAAAAGGAATTCCTACCAAATACATCAAGGACTAATACATCTCAGTCATCTCCCTGCTATCTAGAGCAAATACATTCAATTTTCTTCAGTCAGCAACCACAAATTATGCTGGTGTGTGTGTGTGTGTGTGTGTGCGTGTGTGTGTGTGTGTGTATGTTTGTGTATTCCTAGTTAGCACTGTGTTTTTTTGTGGGCACACTATTGTTTGTATACGGCTATTTAAGCAAGGGTGAATATGCTACCAGCTGCACGTATATGGGTCTCTGTTTAAATATGTGTTTGTGTGGGAGCCATGACAAATGTATGCACATATGTGAAGCACTGGTCTACTGTATGTTGGTTATGTTTGCTCATGTGGATCTATGAATTCATATGCATATATGCTATGTGATTATATATCTTTTGGTTGTATCTGCGATTGTAAACGACTCTGGAATTCTCTGTATTGCATAGAACTCCAGAAGTAGGTACAGATAGGAGCATAGTTTTCTGTGTGCATCTGTTTCAATGACTGTATCAGTGTAGGTGTGGCTGAGTATGCATGTGGTCTTTTAATAATCCAGTTATAGGATCAGAAAACCATTCTTGTTAGAGAATAACAAGGGTCAATAAGAATGTAGTAAAGCGAAGTCCTTATGCAGTCTGGGGGCATGTTAAATGGAGCAGCCCCCTTAAAGGAGTCTGGCACTTACTCAAATGATTAAACACAGAATCATGAGATGACCCAATAAGTCTTCTCCTAGTCCATAGGCAGGCAAATGAAGACATACATCAATACAAAAAATTATACATGGCTGTTTAACACAGCATAACAATATTGGCCAATAAAGGTGCACACCCAAATGCCCATTGGTGGGTGACTATATAAGCAAATGCCTTATACATTCAATGCAATATTAATCAGCCACAAAAGGAATGAAGTATTGATGCACACTAGAACATGTATAAATATTGAAGACATTAGACTAAGTAGAAGAAAACAGAGTCAAAAGACCACATTATATAATCCCATTGATATAAAGTGTCTAAATCAGGGAAATCCAGGTTAATGGTTTCCAAGGGTTGGGGAGATTAGGATATAGGGTTTTTTGGGGGGATCTTTTTGGGTGACACCTGGTGATTCTCAGGGTTACTCCTGGTTCTGCACTCAGAAATTACTCCTGATGGTGCTCTGGGGATCATCTGGGATGTTGGGGGTCGAAACTAGGTCGGCTGCATACAAGACAAATGCCCTACGTGCTGTACTATCACTCTGGCCCCCTCGGGCTTCTTTCTGAGGTGACAAAATGTCAAACTGAGGTAATAATGGTTGTGCATCCCTGTGAGTGTATTAAAACTTACAGAATCGTACACACTCTACAGGGGTGAAACATATGGCACACACATTCCATCTTGAGAAGCTCTCAAAAGTAAAACCACTCTGTGGTGACTCATTCATGGCTCTCTAGTGTTGCCTGAAGTGTTCAAAGCTTTGCAATCAAATATTGACAAATAGCTCCTTCAAACAGATGAAAAGTTGTTGGCTTTACCTAAGCTGCGTCTTCCCTGTGACTGGGTGAGAGCAATCCCTACGGGGTGTGCCAAGGGAGAGCCTAGGTATGCAAGTGAGCGGCTAATCCTATGTTTGTGGAGACTGCTGGGCCACTGATTAACAGGCTGAACTTCACTTAATACCCATGAC